ATAAATATCTTGCGAAAACGCGAAAACATATTTTATCTTATAAAAATCAAACACATGTAGTATAAAAAAATAAATTTATTAGCAATAAATTAAAGATAGTAAGTTTACATCGGATAATGTTATGGTAATATAGATTTAAAGACGGTTTTAATAAAAAAAAAATTCACATCCTTAATCATTTTTAAATTCATGTTTTCATAATAAAAATGTTACAAATCATACTTTGCTAATATGAAACAATTTCTCATCTATCACCGATTATCATCATGTATTTCAAAGTTTGGATGAATTATTTTCTAAATTATAATGTTGAGTTGACACAATATCATATGTTTTTCTTGTTTTCACGTTTTCGCAAATTATTTGCATTTTCGCATTAAACCTCCCATATATATATATATATATATATATATATATATATATATATATATATATATATATTGGATTATGATGGTAACTTTGGTGGTCGCAATATCATCATTGGAAGAAATGCAAGTCGGCAACTTTGGTGGTCATAATGTTATACTTGTAAATGAATATAATGTAATGGAAGCTTGTGTAAGTAAATTGTCAATTGATGAAACTGCTAGTTAATAAGATGGTAGATTGCGTAGTTATGATGTTACCGAGGAAAGGTTATTTGGATTGGATAGTAGCAGGCGTGGCTGTACGCCTACTATGAATAGTTAGTTGTTGGAATAACAGTTGAATTAGCTATAACCTTGATCATTAAGGGAGTTTGTGTAATAACACTAAAACCGAGTGTATATCATCGATTTGTTAGAAAGGCACCGAGAAATATGCAGGGTTCGTTAGTATAATGATATACTTAATCGTGTAACTAATTTCTTACTGGACGACCTGGGTACTCACTACGCTCGTTGTAGCTTACCCGTTTGTTGTTGTGTGCCTTTCAAGTTCGGGTAGATGGTGTATAAAAATGTGAAGTTGGTGGTGCCCGACTCGATTCATCGTGTCAGCAGTATACACGATCCTTTTGGTAGCTACATGTATTGATTGTTAATACGAATGTAAACTGGATTTATTATGATTTATGATTTGAAAACGAGATTGTTTTGATGTGCTTTGTGTTAAAAGTCGGGTGTTACACTCGACTTTGTAAATTGTCACTTTGGCTCCCTCAACTTTGAATTTTGTAAAATTCGTTAAGTTAAAAAAAATACTAATTTATAACATGTTTATTTTTATGATATAAATTCGAGGTGGTCAACGTTTTGACGTAAACTTAGAATTTTCGTTTATTAATTAAAAAAAAACTTATTTGTTTATATTACTACCAAAAAGTTTCTCTTCTTAAATCCATTATTGGTCCCTTAATTTTATGGTTTGAGAACTTAAGTTCTCTTAAGTTTCTATTACTTCTTCTTAAATCTATTATTGCCGCCGCAAAATGCGGCCGGTAAAATCCTAGTTGTTTACAAAATATATTTTAAATATAAAGTGTATATACATGGTTTTTATGAAATATCGAAAAAATATTACAATAATTTATTTTTAATAAAATATTTATTTTTAATATTATTTTGAGATTTATTTCTCGTACTATGTGAATATATATGCCTAGTTTGTTTATAATCTTGTAATATGGAGGTATTTTAATAAGTTCGACTGATTTTGTTGAAAGGTTTTGTCTATTTTAGAAGAAATATACTTATATGTATATTTTATTTATTTTTTTGAAACGGTAAATCTAATATACTCCTAAACTACACCTTAAGTCCACCTATGTCCACGGCAGGATTTGAACCCTCAACCTCAAATAGAGAGGGCAACACCGGATACCTGACAAAATTAGAATATATTATCTTCTAATTAAAAAGTACATTGAAAATTAAAAATGCAATGTAAAAAATAGGTATTAATAAAAATAAAGATGTTTTGTATTTTCGTTTATACAAAGGGGTATAAAAGTATAAACTATGAATTGTGGTTTTGTTTTCTCGTGAAGTTAAGGCGAAGGAGCGTTTACCATTGAATATGAGTATATGACCCCACACATACAAGCCCATATTTGATTTATACCCCTACCACCTCAATCTACATCTAAACACACACATGACGTTTCCGGCACCGGAGTTCAGAGAACCAGTTTCTACACCTCCTAAACTCTCTCTCTTTTCACTACCAACCAAACCGACTACGCTGCAGGATGGTCCAACGCCGCCACCCAACACGGTGGCCACCATCCCATTCTTGTGGGAGGAAGCACCAGGAAAACCAAGACGACCTACCTCCACCGATGATCCACCAAAGTCTAAAACAGTCAGGTCTTTAGACCTCCCTCCAAGGTTAACCACCACCGTGGGTACTGCTACTAGCAACGTAACCAACAGTAGTGGTGGAATAGAGATTATACCATCACCGACCACCGTATTGGGTGGACCTTATGAAGGAGTGTACACTTCTAATAAATCAATGTTGGGGTCGCCGGAGAAGGTGGTGGGTTGTAGTAATTACAGCGGTAGGAGTAAAGGGAAGATCACGATGCCTTTGAGGAATTTAATGAGGAAAGAGAAGTCGCCAGTAAAGTTGATCAGTTCATGGAGGTGGGATAGTTTCAGGGATATTGGAGGTGACAAAGGGGACAGGTCGCCGGCGGTGAAGTTTTGCTCATGGAGGTGGGATAGTTTCAGAGATATGGGTAGCGGTAGCAAAAGCGGTGGTGGTAGCTGCAGAAGTGTAGATGGAAGTGGTTCTCTGTCTTCTTCATTTGATGACTTTCAAAAGTCTCTTGATTCCAATAGTAAGATCACAAAAGTTACAAGGAAGAACAGCTTCACGTTCCTCAATCGTAGTTCTTCTGGATTTTTGGTAAGTCTCATTAATTAATCTTTCCTTTAAAATGTTATTAATGTGTTGAACCGGGTCGGGCTAAATTCCATAATATTATTAAACAAACCGCCGAAAATGTTGAACTTGGCTGATTCACGTTACTGTCTAAAATGGTTTTAGGCCGCACAGTCGCACGATGCACATTAACGTCTCCCTATTTATTAGTAACTTAAAATATATTTTTAGTATATAAGAAAAGTCCATATCAAATAAACATAAATTCACACAACAATGATCCAAATCAAATCAGGGTAGTCAATGTGAAAAAACAATTCGTAACAATCACTTTGGATATCAAATAATATTTAATTGAATATATACAAAATTATCAATGAAATTAGGGTAGGATATGAAATCAAATTAGAATGTAGACGTTTTGATTGATCGTGCATGGTCAATCTCCTTCGTTAATATTTCAACTCTATATTGCTTGGTATTATAAAAATCAATCTAGGATGTTCAATCAAAACTACTTTCATAAATCTTTTGGAAAAAATCGAAAGTAGAGATACAAAGAGTATGATAATTCTTTTTTTTTTTTCCATGAATGTAAAAAATAAATAAATAAATAAATAAAATAAAAATTTGAAGTCTCACTTTTGTTTATACCCAAAAGATGATAAGATTGACGAAAACAGTTTTCGGAAGTTATTAACGCTTACATGGAACTTATAATCGTTTCCGAAGCAATTTTGAAAAGTCAACAGAAGCCTCGGCTATGGACTACTGAAGTAACATCGGTTTTAGACTGGTGTAGCAGCCTCAGTTGCAAATTACTATAGCATCCTATTAGTTGTGGACTAAAGTCTTTTGGTAGCATTAAATAAGGTTGCAGAAGCATCCTATTTGCCTTAGAAAAATTCTACTTTCTCTACGAAACTACTTCTCCGCAACATGATTTTCCACTACATTTCAACTCTAAAATTCCAAAGACCTTCTAGGGAGTTGTCCCAAAACCTGTAAGGGCACTGCCCCTTGACCCTTGTTTATTTCCATGTCCATGATCAAACTCACATAATATATAAGTGTGCACTTTAAACCTGTGAATTTGTATTAGGTCATAGTTTTAATCGTCATTTGGACTCGTGTCAATTCCAATTAGACCAAATGGTTGGTGACACTAAAATCACCAACATTTCATGATGATCATTGTACTTGAATATCAAATTATGTCTGAAACGAACATATAAAAAATCCATAACAATTATAGCACTCAGTTTTTCGTATTAAGGACACCCCACAAATCTGTTTATTTACAACCTTATAAACATTTTTGATGCGACATCGACCTCCGGCGAGCCTTCTGTTCTTCTGCTGCGGCGGAGTTCTGGATATCACAGTGCAAAGTCGTTAGAGCCGTCCCAGGGATTGTGCCCCGGGAGCGGACTCTGACGGTCAAGTTAAATCAACTAGTAGATCTGAGATGGTTCTCCATGGCTGGAGAGGACCATCTTGGTGCTAGTGGTGGTGTATGGTGGTTGACGGCGGCGGGTGGCGGCTGAGCCACCCGGCCGGAGTGTAGTGGCGGCTGAGCCATGGGGGAAGATCTAGGGAAAGGTCCTTAGGGAAAAGTCCTCCTTCGTGGAGGAGGCACTATTCTATTTATAGTGAACAATTAGGTCAAGGGGAATTGGGTCAGGCCTTGGGCCAGCCCAATTCAGGCCCAACTAGCAAGGAGCTGGGCAAGGCCGCCCGGAGGCGCCGGGCGGGGCTGGCGGGCGCGCCCCAGGCAGGGCTGACGGGCGCGCACCAGGAAGGGATGACAAGGGAGTGCCAGGCGAGGGAGCGCCTGGCCGGGCCGGCAGGAGAGTCCCCAGCAAGGCTGGCAAGGGATTCCCCAGTAAGGACTAGCAAGGGAACGCCAGGCAGGGCTGGCAGGAGGGCGCCAGGCAGGGCTGGCAGGAGCGCGCCAGGCCAGGCTGGCGCGCTGGAGCAGTCTAGGCCGTGCTAGTGGACCATATATCATCAAGTCCCCCCAGTCTGATGTTATTGGTACGCGGCCAATGACATCGGACTGGACTAAGTCGTATAAACGAACAGGAGAGTCCCCAACGAGGCTGTCAAGGGAGTCCCCGGCAAGGTTGGCATGAGCGCACCAGGCCAGGCTGGCGCGCTAGAGCAGTCTGGGCCATGCTAATGGACCATATATCATCAAGTCCCCCCAGTCTGGT